TGTTCTGGGTGAAAGAATTCCAGACGGAAAGAAAAAGATGAAAAGAAGCCAAATTAATTGATATAAAAATGTTGTAATCATGTATGATTCTTATTCTATTTCAATTATAAGTTTAGTAATCCATATTAACAGTGTAATGAAATTTATTTATATGTATGTACCTGGAACTGGATAGAATCACCACCATACGAGTCGTATTGTTGCAGATTCTCAATATTCTTTTTTCATTGTCATTTCATCCTCACAAAGCTCATTGTTTCTTGCAAATCTTCCTCTGACTCTGACTCTGCGATCAGCTAGGGTTTTCCGACAAGCATACTGTATGTATATAATATGTGGAATTTTGTATCAGTCAAATGTATGAAATCAAATTCCTATGTTCATAGAGAAAGGAAAAACAAAAGCAATTGAATAAATTCTAATTCTAAGTACTTTATATTCCCTTTGACTTAGAGATAGAAAAAGTTAATTAAAAGAGAGATCACCTTGATTGTCTTGTTGAAGTTCCTTTGGTTTCTTTTCCTCAAATATCGCAGAATTCTTTCCTTTCTTTCTTCTTCCGAATACCTTCCCACCTTAATGTTCTCTTGATCAACTCCTAGCACTTGATTATTCCCTTGAATTCCCTGTATTAAAACATTAATTAATCCTCAGTTTCAAACATAATTACCAATATATTTCATGATCTCAATTAACTATATATATATTTATATATATCAAGCATATACCCAGTTTTCTCTTGAAGCTTTAGGACAAGAAAGAGGCTTGACGTCCTCCACGAAGCCACAACTTTCATCTGCAAAGTCACTAATATATGGTTGCTGGTATAATAATCCGCCGCTGAAGCTCTGAAACCCTTCATTATTGTTAATGCCATAGAAGCTGTGGTGGCTTTGGACTTCCGGCATGCAGCTGGCGGCACGGTGGTCCGAAGGAAAAGCCGGAGACCATGCGTCGGAATAACGCATGGACGGCGCGACGACACCACATGATCATGATGACGATGATGATGATCAAGAGCATAGGTACCAAAACTATTATCAAGCCATGGAACCAAGCCATATCTCTGATCACCCCACATTGTATTATCTTCCATAACTGAACAATTCATTCCATTCATCAGTGAATTGTTAGTGGTGAAGGCGGTGAAATCACTGGGAAGCGTCTGGTTTGAATAGAACTGAGGCATGGAAGCCATTGAAAGAGGAAGATATATAGACAGCTAGAGAGAGAGAGATTGAGAGATTTGGTTTTTTATGTGTATGTGTATGTGTGTTTTGGTTTGGTGGGTGTGTGAGTAATATATACATATATATAGACAGATAGATATGGAAATAGGGGAATATAGGTGAATGTGTTAGTGGGGTAAGGCTGAGGCAAGTTGTTGAGGCAAGTGGGGGTATGTCAAAAATAGCTTATTAGGCGGCTTGGATACATGACTAAACAGAATTTTGGTACATTCTTAAGTGTTTGCATATTATTGGTTTTCACAAGTAAAATAGTACTTTGGTTAGTTTCTTCTAATTTCATTAAAATTTTAAATTAATTTCACTTTTCAAATAAATAATTCCAACTAAAATGTAAAATAAGTGGCACTATTCTTAACTCATCTAAATTTGCAACTAATCAATGTTATTTTTTCTGCAATAATTACATTTTACTTTTTTTAATATAGTAACTTACTAAATTTTTAGGTCTCTTTTTTAATAAATATAAATATAAAATTTATAAAAACTGTATCATTCATCGTAAGTATGCCATGCATGAATTGTTAATCTTCTCTACTCTTTTAATTTTCTTCACTTCTTTATATTTTAATGAGCTTTTACATGTTAAAAGGATAATTATAAATCTAAAAGAAACTTGTAGATTATTATCTTGTATATTAAAAGGCAAAGTCCAGTCAACAATTTTTTTTAAAAAATAAATGTTATATTTATCAAACTAGAGACAATTAAAAAGATGTTTACTTAAATTTAAAGTCAATCATATCACAGCACAGGGCCAATACCCAATATAATTACTTAGGCCAAACAAAAAATCACATAATATTTCGAATTTGATGGTTATTTTTCCACAAACTAGTCAAATGTTTTTCCCTATTTATGCCGCCTTGCGGTAAACGCGTAAACAAGGTAAGGAAGGCAACTAAATTTAGTTGTGATATTTTTGTTTGCAACTTTTCAATATAAAATACGTAGTTAATAACATCATTATTTTAATTTACCCTATATCTACCGAATTATTAAGTTGAATTATGATCACTTTTTATTCTAGACCACTTCTAATTTAAAGTATAATTAGGTGTTCTAATATGTGCGACTTTCAAACAATGTTTCAACTGTTTAAAGACTAAAAGAACTTGATTATATTCTTGAGTACTTTACATTGGAGGATATTAAGAATTTAAAAGAAAAACTAAACCTCATAGTTAGATATGATTTTTTTTTCTTTCGTTTGTAATTACATGTGCAAAATACACGTAGAGAGACAGAATTATGTGTGTTCGTGTATTGTGAATGGAAATAAGATGAAAAAGAATAAGAATTTTTACAGGTAGAATAAAGTAAAGTAATTGAGAAACTGGGCAAATTAGAGCCAACAAGGGAAAGAGAAATGAATAATTAAGAAACATAGAAAGAAAAGCAGAGGAGAGAAAAAAGGAGAAAGTAGAATAGAAAGAGGGGGTCATGTGCATAATACTGTGTTGAAGACTTTAAAGGCTTAAAGTTGGCCACATGGTACTATTACAAAAGACGCATCCTATGGTAATAGACTCAGAATCTACCACATGGGTTTGTTACATTTCTTGTAAACAAATCAAGTACCCCACATCTCCCCCTCCACCCAAATTTTTTTTCCTTTTTTTTCGGATAATCAAATCTCTCCCCTATTTTGAAGAAAATTCTTCTTTTATTTTTTAAACAACAGTTAAAAGAAAAATTATTTCTATGCACACAAATTGTGGCAAGAATAATGTAGAAAGCGTAATAGGTATTCCCTCTGGTCCTAAATACAATACACATTTTGCAGTGTATTTTTACACTACAAAATAAGTTTTATATTTAGGACCGGATGAGTAACATTTTTGTAAATAAAATGCGATAGATTGTTGACTTTCCTTACCGCTTATTATTACAATGAGTGTCAAAACAACTTTTTTTTTTATACCAGTTAGCAACAACTGATGTAAAAAGATAAATTTCTTTCAACTAAGTTCCTGTCTATATGAAAGATTAAGGGCTTAGATTCAAACTCATAACCACTTATTTAAGGAACTTCTTTTTCAATGATATAGCTCTACATGTCATTAGAAAAACTAAGTATGTGTATTAATAGGTTTCACATGTAAATAAAATTTATTAGTATGCTTGTTTTTCTCTAAAACTTTATGGTATGCACCAAATCAGTTATCAAGAATTGCATTATTCGAGGGAATCCAGATGGGACTTGCATAACATTTTAGTCGAAACACAAGTACATTGACTTGATGTTTGTTGAAAACCTACCCCTTGGCGACGATAACAGTGGTATATATATGGAACTTATTAGTTCTTACGTAGGCCAAAGTGACACCCCTTTGATTGGATGGACACTTAATTTTATACCACGACAGCACATATATTCCTTTGATTTGATTTCATGTCGAAGAAGCAGCTTCTCTTGTTTCATGTGTTCAATTCTCAAATTAATATCATCCTCACGTTAATTACAGTGTCTTCTCTTGTCCTTTCACAAGATAATTTCTTTTTACTAATAGTAATACATACCTGGATTAACAAATAAGTTGTTTGCTAGAATGGTAAGCTGTCTCGTTCCCGTAAGGAGGAGAATACAAGTTTGAATACTAGGAAGTGCACTTATTTGGAGAGCCGAAAACCCTTTGCAGTTTAAGTTTTGAAAGAGGAAACATTTGATCAAATAAATAAAAAATACATACCTGGATTATGCTAATTCTTCTGATGATCTTAAATATAAAACAGTCTAACTAATTCATGCATGTTGAGAGTAGTTAGTTAATTATAATAAAAATGAGAAAATGAAGGATAAAATGGGAAGAAGATTAGTTAATATCACATATATTGTCCTGCATTTTGGATCAAATAATGCTTCTAAAAGTTGTCGTGCACATTTAGATCAGAGGAAGTATATTAGAAGGATTTGGACTTGATTTTTATATCTACATATCTCACTTTATTCCGTTGCCACCTACACTAAACTCTGTTCTTATTATAAGCTAAACTACTTGTACATCATTCCAGCTAACAATTTCAATTAAGCCTATCTAATAATTCATGTGAATTTAATTAGGTGCGTGATTTTCTGCAACCCACCGACTGATATTTCAAGCTTAGAATATCATATACATCCCCTATGAAAAGGACATTTGAGTTTTAATCCTCAGGAGCAAAAAAACTTCATGAAAGGCCTTGAAAAATTGAGTAATAGAAAAAGAAAGAGTCAAGTGTTATAGCCTCTTTATATTTCAGATAAAAAGAGAGTTTTACATAGACTTCGTCGTATTTATAACAAATAATATCACAATTACATAAACATAGAGCGTGATGTAATTTATGATATATAAGCATTTAGGATTTGATAGATAGATTGGTTATGCAAGAGAATAAAAAGGAAGAGGGATGATAGATATACTTATATATGTGCTGGTTATTGGGAACAATGTTACTGTAGATCAGATATGGTAATATAAAAAGAGGAATAGGGTTCAAATTCAGTGGCAGTGTGGCACGATCGATGTTTTGTTAAGTGAGAAATTAAATTAAAATTAAGATTCCCGGCTTCCTTACCTCACTTGGTATCACGGAAAGGTAGCTTCTTCATCAAAATTCATCTTTTTTCAAGGCCTATTTGCCACATACAGCATCCATCCATTTATATAACTCTCATACATTTCAAACACTTATCTTCTCTTCAGTACGGAGTATCTGGTACCCTCTCCTTCTCCCTCTCCCTCTCCCTCCCTCTCTCCCCCCTTCCCCACTTGTTTGATTCTCTCTAAACTCAATAATTTATTATTGCTCCGCCTTATGCAACACACCAACGTTTTTCTTATTTTCCCTCTCTCCATTTCTGTAAGAAGCTATCCTCTATATATCTCGTCAAATCTATAACAAGGTGAGACTATTCATAAGTCACAAGCAATAGTACTTAACTCAAATTTTGTGAAATACTTGAGAAAATGTGTTTATATCCATGTTAAGGCAACCCATAATCTTTCATATCATATGCAATATATATGGGAGTCTGTCTGGTTTTGCTAATATACTGGTTATCTTACATGACCTCTAAAAAATATTTCTAAAATAAATCATTATTGGGATTCTTACAAACTTTGTTAAAATCTTGTCGGATAAATGGAGTGTTAGAAACATTGATGCGTATGGAGAAAATGATTGTGACTTAATTGCTAGTTTTTGTGTATGGAGCAAATCTAGTTTAGAGAAATATATCTTTACCTAAACTTCATCTAATAGAGGATACTCCTAATGTCTCACTAAATTACAAAGACCTCTCTTGAATTTTCTTAAAATTTTACAGGCGTTACTTTTATTTTTAAAAGAATTTATGAATATTTTAAAAAAGAAAATGAAAATCTATATATTCTAACTTTATGTGAACGGTTTCCTTTATATATATATATAAGTAAAATGAATGAGGAAACGACAAATAATTAAGAGGAGGGTACAAGGCTGAATTCTGTTGTTGAAAAAAGGAGTAATTAATTGGGAACAAAAGTGCATTGATATGATAAGATCTAATTATTTTTTTCTGACCTTTTTGACCGAATCATCAGAAGGGACAGATTCTATGTTTGGATGCCTTAATTTTCATGAAAGGCCATCTTATGCTCTGATTGATGATGAATACGGAGCCTCATAGGCTTGTTTTCAGGACTAAATCAAAATTATAAAAGCACAATCTTTTACTTGCTTTGAAACCAAGCAACTTTTCCTCTTTACAAACTGATGATTTCTTTTAACAAAAGGAGTATACATAATACCCAAAAAAATTTAAGAAAAATTGAAACTTTAATGCGTAAATCCTTGGAAATGACTTGTTCCATTGGTTGAGGTACACGTTTGTGTTTCACACCTGCTTTTTGGATGTTTGAAGCCAACAAGGTCATGTTGGTGTCAATGGTGGGTGTTTGAAGGGAAGTGAATCTGAGGCTGATTTTGGAAGCATAAGATCACCAGTCCCACTTTTTCATGTTTTCCAATACTAAAAAGATTGTTCTGTTCCCTTAGTAGTTAGTACACACTCTTTTCCCACAAGATGTGTCATGCACACTCCCACTTTTTTATCTGTAGGATCAAATTTCTCCATGCAATTCAAGTCCGGCATGAGACCTTTGTCTGGACGCTAATATCACTCACACACACTGCTTTTTGTTGTTCTCACTTCTCATTCTTTTGACTGAGACTATTTAGATCAGGAACAAAAGCTTCAATTGTACTTTTACTGTGTGCTTCGCATTTGCCATGCTCTATAAGTGTTCCACTATTTTTTTTTTGTGTGTGTCATACAGCGTTGTTTTACAAGTGTTCAGCATGATTGGCACGATACGGAGTTCTAATGAGTGATTGCAAGTCAAATTCTTCTGTAAATCGTAATACTTTCATTATCTTGGGAGATCGGAGATCAGAGACAGTGGAGGCAGGAATAGACAATCAAGAATCGAAACTGTGCACGTTAGAGTCATTTTATCCTTTGGCACTGATTTCAGAAGTGAAACTTGAGCCAAAAGATTTTCAGGAGACAGACTTGCTTTGTTACGATTCTGGACTCATTGAGATTAAATCGAAGAAATTTGAAATTTTTCATAGGGCTTGGGAACTTCAATATAATACTTAGCAAAAATGTAGCACTGGGTAACTGTGTCCCTACAGCAATTTCTGCGACCCCGGTTGCATTTAAGCGTTCATGAACATTTTACATCAATTCCAGAATCGTACAATGGCATTAAGAAAAATCCATAAGAAAGATGGATGTTCAAATCTCACTACTTGGAAAGCTGTAAATCATTTATTTCACTAGCTTCATCACGGAGGTTCAACAATGGTCCCAGTTTGAAATAAATATCCAGTTTAGGATCACCGGATAATTCATCCTCTGCAACCTAACCACAATGGGAAATTGCTTAGATCATGAATAATATTCATCCATGAGATTAGAATTAGTACAGCACCAGAAAAGCTCTTTCCATCTTCTAATCACTCGATTTGATTTATATCAGAATGCCTATAATCTCGGAGGGGCAATCAGAATAAACATGGATAATGATATGTGAAAAATGGACGTTCCATTGCATGTCCATCTTCAATCCAGATATACCTCGCTTCATATAATACCGTTTATCCTATAAGCCCATTAAATATTTTGGCCAAACTAAAGCCCATTAATTGAAGGGGGCAAAAATTAATACAAATGTTGGTCCAACCCACCAAGTTGAAGAAGGGATACCAGAGTTACCTTCAATCTAGAGATTTCTTAGACCAGGGGAATAAACATCAACTCAGGGTCTGCATCTGCATCAGAACAGAATTGAGAGCTTTCCAAGATCTTTGCTAAGGTATACATCCAGATATATTTCAAAATTACAAGTGACACATACCCCGCATCTGCAGACACATTATCAAACATGGTTCTCTTGTATGTGCCTTTTGCCATCCCTCTCGGTATGACCCAGCCGGCCGACTTTGTTTCGGTCATCCATATAATCAAAACGATTATGATGATGAGAACCATGGCCATAATTGTGCCATTGTCTCCCCTCCACAACTCTATCGGGTGAGCTCACTGCTTTTCTCTTGCGGCTGTTTGACTTGGGTGAATGAAGTCCTGGGCCAATGTCATCAAGTGCCGACAACTCCCCTTCTTCCACATTACTTAGATCAGATTGGTATGATGACAGCCCCTTCATACCATGATGATGCTCGTCATCATTATCGTGATGCCTTCCATGCTGCATGGTCTCATGATCTGATTTATCAGATGACTTAGACCAGCTTTGCCTCCTATCCTGCTTGTTCTTCTCATTCTGGGAAGCCAGTTCAATCCCATCTTCCAGTTCTCTTTCGATGAGATCATCATCATCCATGAATTCTGTTTTTTTAGTTACCTGACTAGATGCTTTCCTCCGTTTCTCTAGTGCAGCTTTTACCTTGTCTCTATCAATTTTCTTCATGGCCTCCTGAGGTGGCCGGCCAGATGTACCATCTCTGTGATCTAGGTTTCTGCTTGTATGTTTATCTTTAAATTCACCAGATTCCTTCATTTCACTTCTCCCAGCATTGCTTTCTTGCTCTTCACCATAACCAGAACGGGATTTGTCTGCAGGTTCCTGCGAGTTTTCCCTATAGACAGGATGTTCCCATTCAGGATGCTGATTGTGTTTAGCTTCATCTTCAGCCCTATGTTTCATTTCTGAGCTTCCATAATCACCACCTCTATTGTGGTTGGACAAAGGGCGCCCAACATGATTAGTAGCAGATGACTCAGGAAGCGCCTTAGAAGCTGCAGATTTTGAGGTTTCAATTTTTGAACTCATGGGACCAGTCTGGGAATTGCTGTTTGTGGTAGCAGTCTCATCATTGCTGGTTGGACCTTTTGCAGGTGGCCGGTTAGTAGCCCCACTGCCTGCAGCTCCTTCAGCATCATTGGATGGTGGCAGTCGGTTTTGTTCATAAAGCTCCAACATTTGATTACTAACTTCTGCAGAAAGTGAATTGCGAAAGTACACAATAGGGTATTTCAAGATAATAAGGAAGTAAGCGATTGAGTACGATATGTGCTATTAGATTGGTTCCACCTGCTTAAACTGATCTTGCTACATTTGTGTTTCTTGGTAAACTTAGGAATCTCAATTAACAAGACGATTCTTACTCAAACACCATTCCACACATAGAAGAGGAAGAGAAACGTGGAAGATCAAGGGTAGAGGTAACAGAGAAAGAGAAATGAAAAATATAGATACACTTTCCATTTTCTTATATCCCTAAATACTGGCAGAAAAATCAAAACAATAAAAAGGATACCAACCCTCCAATTGGCGTGGGGTGACATCAAACTCTTGCCACCAAACCTTCTCACCATCTGATGGAAGCTTCACCTTGAGGAACTTGGCAGCAAGGAATATGGCTCCAGCTGCAATGTGATGGGGCATAAATTGCAAACACAGAGATGTCCGAAGTCTGCACATCAGATCCTAATTTCAGGAAGGGACAAAGAAAGGCAATTGAGCATAACAAAAATGCTGTTATCTCCATACCCATCATTCACAAAATTCCAGGCAACTTGTGCAAGGGCGTTTTGAGCAACTTTGAATTTCTTTATTGCTTCAACAAGTGGTTTGTAAGGATGGTGCACATTAAGATCAAAACCAAGGGTTGCAAGAACAACCCTCTCTCCTAGTAAGATTAATTCCTTCTGCTGTTCATATACCTCCTGCAACATAGTCGCAAGAAATAGAAGTGGTGTGAGAAAAGATCATACTATAAAAACCACACAGGGAACAAAATTGAAAATCCAAATTTTCAAAGAAATGATAAAAATGTTAAAAAGACAAATATGAAGCAAGTAAAGATTTGATTCAGCCCGGCAAACAAAATTCAGATATAAATTAAAAGACAAAATTGTTGCATTCAGTTTCATTCTCAAAGCAGGAACTAATCTAATCTATTACAGAAAGTAAAAATGAAATTTTAACCACTTAGATAGGTAGAAGATAATAGCTCAGATTAAAAAAATACAAAGAACTGAAACACACAAACAAAAAAACATGTCATAAACAGGCAGTTCAGTGATTGTAGCACCTAGCAGAGATTTCTTCAGATAAAATCAAAGGAGCAAGAGACATAAAATGAACCTTTTGTTTGATTCTCTGAACCGCTGCAGGATCCTTCTTATGTACAATTTCATATGAAACAAGAATTACATCCTTTAGAGGTCGAGGAGTTTCCTCAACCTTCCCAGCAAGAAACATGCATACTGTTGCAATAGTCTGCAAAAAGCAAAACAGGTTTACACAACTAATTAACTAGTATCACCTATCCAATGTAATATTTTATAGTTGCACAAAGCAATAAAAAAAGAAAGAAAAATATTCTGCACTGTATATTGTGCAAAGTGTAGCAATCATATTTGTGAACACAGAAAAAGATTATCAAAGACTATGGACATAATATAACTGGCAGGATACAAGATTGAACCCGATCAAGCATAGGATGATTCTAAAAAACGCATCCAAAGCCTAAAAAGCAGGGTGATGGCCAGTATAAAACATTCCTTAAAATGCAATTTATGACGTAGAATTATAAACGAATAAAAAGTTATCCAACAGACGAACTACTTGGTCAACAATCACAAGACATGCATGTAACTGGAAAAAAAATCCTCAGTAGTATGATTTGGCCGGTTTAAAAAGTGAAAATTTATAATCCCTTATTGCAAAGCAATCAGCATAAAGCTTCCTCTTTTTGTGGCCAGATTTGGGGTTTCTTCGCACTTATGACAGATGCACAACTCTGATGTTTTTGGGAGGCCCTGAAGACTTAAATAATTGGTAGTTCAATGTGATGACAGCACAAGTATGAAGAATCAAACAGATTTATTACAACTTTCCATTCCATCCCACGTATGGGAAGATATTGCTAAAGATACGGGAACAGGCTCACCTACAGCACCAAGCCTAGATACTCTGTAATGTCGCACTAAATGACTGAGTTCTCTAACATTCTTGCCCTCAAACACCCCTTTTTCACCTTGTCTACAATTTTCTCACTGGTTGCTACTATTTTTCCTTCAGATGCTGCTATTCTTCCATCCTATCATTAGCTCTTTTAAGTACTAGGAAAGATTCACCTAATGGGTTATCCATAATAATGGGTATTCACGTAAAACTATAAGCCCACAAAGTGGTGAATCTATCATTAACTGTAAGACGTATTTCTGGCCAAAAGACTATTTATAACCGGTCCATGCATTCCAAGAGTAATCATTAGACGTATATATTAAGAAGATCAACAGATAAGATAGAAAATGAACAGAGGAGGATAGCACGAAAATATAGAGATAATTCAGCATGTTTCTTTCAACTGTCTTAACAAATCCTTCAAACATCTGGCGAACAATTGATTTGACATAGAAGACTATAGAACTACCATTTCACCTATATAGATACCAAACCATTAAATATTGCATTATTCAGACACATAATAAAGAGTCGATTAGTTATAATGAACCAGAGCCCTAAAAATAGAAAATTCCAAGTGCATACATCCATAATTCAGATAAGGGATGAACCTATGATATCACAAGATCCAATAAAGATGTTTACTACAAGAAAAAGAGAGCTATTATCTCACAATGGCAATATGAACCTTAGGAAACAGAAAACAGACTCACCCTCCTATCATTCTTTGCATGGGATTGACGAAGGAAGAATCTGTGACAAAAAATAATTGCTGTGGCAATGGTTACCTGAGGTCTGTGTCACAAAAAAAAAAAAAAAAATAATAATAATAATAAAATAAAATCAAAAACCAAAAACCAAAATCAACTTCATGATATGTTAAGTTATCCATCTTCAGTGCCATTTAACAGTACTTTCAATACAAGTAGCCAAAAAAATATAAATTTTCATAGATATTCAGTGATAAACTATATGGTTATACAGACAAAGCATCACTAGCACAACCTTGCCTTTGGAAAGTACCACCAAACAAAGAATCGAATTTAGCTGACCAAGGAAAATAAAATCCATAATAAATGTTAAACTAGTATAACAAGTGCAAATTACAGTTGAAATAGAGCTTTAACATTACCAAAAGAGAAAAACAGGCAAACAGAAAGCTGTCTGAATAACAGTGAACTCACACTTTAAGTCTCATGCCTAAATCTTGCAGAAAAGTACAATATGACTTGCGCAAGTAAGTTTCTTTCTTCAAATCTATGCCATCTTTCTTAGATGGTGAATTTTCTTCAATCTCCTTCCTAGCAAAGTACCAACGAGAACCATCCTCTTGCTTCTCTGGAGTGTGTCTTTGAGAACTCCCTTGATAAGTTCCATGATGAGAGACATCTCCAGAGAGCACTCCAGCCATGGTGTTGACAGATGACTATAGTTGTTCAGATTGTGTATATGATATCACAATGCAACGGCCAAGACTGTAAGGTACAGTTTCTTCCCTGCCCATTAACTATACGAATGAGGAAACAAGCATACACAATAAAAGAATGCTAGCAAAATATCCTTAAATTTTTCCTCCAACAGAAAATAAGACATACTTAACCGATTTCAAAATTTTCTTAATAAAAATATCCTCATATGTGACCAGTTCTTTTCTCAACCAAAAAAAAAAACACGCGACCAGTTCTTGGGCAACCAATTGAGGTATAAAAGAAAGGTATACCCCCTTAAATATGCTCCTAACTAAGCCTTATCCACACAAATGCTCATTAAATCTCCGCATCCAATGTTATGAACAAACATTATGCTATATATAAAAGTTTGAGATACGTTGTGAACAGATATTAAAGCAGCAGCATCCTCTCAATCAAAGAACCAAGGCACCGTGCCTCTATATGCCACGACTAAAGCAATCTATAATCACTAAATTAAACTCCAGTATGCACCTAGAGCTAACACATAACTAGCACAGCAATACAGAACAGAATAAGTTAGTTGAAGTTTGGTAACTTGCTTCACAAATGGCATTCATCACTCTCTCGATTATTACACAACAAGACCAGCAAGGAAGGGGGATTTTTTTTTTTTTTCCCTCTTTACCACATAATCTCTTCTTTTATTGAGTAGAAAGGTCTGTTATGTCATAATGAACATAGAATGCAATCACATGACAACTGAAAGGTTAAGAATTTGTTATAAACGCTTGTTGAGAGTCAAGATCTCATCCTTGCATATCAAACTGTATTCTAGACACTTCTTTGCTTATATTAGACATTGAAGAAACACATAATTACTAAGATACATCATATTATGCCTAGTCTCAGTTTACGCTCTTCCATATGGCCAATTAATAGCTACATGAAAAAAGAAGGCAGTCAGGCAATCGACAAACCACGAGTCGCAACCAAAAACAAGGCATTCACCATAAAGCACTATTTGTTCATATAGAATTAGAATGTGAGAGCAACTTCGGAAAGCTCCCGATTTCATGTTAAGTTCATTACAAGAAAACGACAGTCCAGACATCAAGATCGTCTTGCAACCCCAGAACCCTAATCCCATCATTGGGCCCAGTCAACCGATAGCCGGTGTCAGCGACATTAATTTTTTCTAATAAATACCCCAACTATATAAGAAAAACTAAAATTTTCAGCACTCACAAGGATAATGGCACGAATCTAAAAAACTTACTTTCCAGTGAGGAAGAAGAGTTCGACAAGCTTCGATACAGTTAAATCTACAAGCAAAAAACAAAACACAAAAATTATGAGCCTCCCTGCACCCGCGTTGCTCTTATTGGGTAAGAACTGATGAATATGAAGATGATGAAGACGAAGGAAGAGAAGGGAAGATTATTTCTATCAGAGTTTTAGGGTTCTTCAGTGTGGAGAGGGGCAAAACAAAGGGCGACCCAAAAAAGAAGACACAGAAATAGCCTACGCCGTACAGCCCCGCCGGGACCCACCAAACACCCGATATTTCTTCTTCCGGTTTTTTAAGTTTTTTGTTTTCCACTTTTGTAAGAAAATTTTGACTCTTTATTGCAAAAACGCATGGATTTCGCCTTTTGCAGGATCCTTGGCAGGTAAATTTGCATGATTGTATGCATTTAAGGAGAGAATTTTGTAAGATATAGAAATTAAACAAATAGAAAGCAAAGTGAGATATGTAATTTTATAGTAGTTTTTAATTTTATTAATCCAACACATTATTTTAGATAATTTTAAATCCATTGAAATAAAATGTAATGAATAAAATCTTAATGAAGTTATCATGTGATATTTACTAATGACATTTTGATTATTCTTAAAAAGATACTTAAAATGAATATTTCTCAAAAAAAAAAGTTTGAAATTACTAAATCATTTTATAACAATACTTTAACAGGTTTTGATAACATTAAACATATAAATAACAACATATTTTTGTAAAAATTTTATTTAGAATTTAGTCACTTTAAATTTTTTTATAGAATTCTTCCCATTTAAAATAGTATTAAATATTAATAAATTCCAATAAAACAACTTTGAGCAATTATTTTACCAGAGAAAGGTTAGGGTTAGAAAATATACCTCTTGTTTTGCTCCTTTTTTTAAAACGGAGTTCAAATTTTTATGGGTCAAACAACAATCTTCTATTCTTTATCTTGTTTAGGTCAATTGTTGTGTTGAGTTACTCAAAGTTGTCTTAACATTTCTACATTCTTAAATCACATGAATATTGTCACATGTAAGAAAAATTTACCCAGTAATCTTTTTCTCCACTGTAATCAGAGTAACACTTTAGAAAAGGCATATTCATGCATTGTTTCAATCGTCCTCGATTGTATAATAATTTATGAATAATACTATAATTTTTATGTGGAAAAAAAATAAGTTTTTATGAGATAAAATTACCAACAACAAAAAAGGGTTCACTTTATAGCTTTAAAAAGTCTTATTAATTTTCATTCAGTTAACATTGTAACACGGTTATTAGAGATGATATGTCAATGGTGATGTCCTCGATTACCTTGTCCAATCATCTTATTGTTCAAGAAAACTGGCTTTTTAAAAATTAAGAAAAATATTTGGCCAAAAAAAAGAAGAAAAAATATATTAAATAGAGATGGATTTCGTTGGCCAAAAATAGATTAATTGTCATTTTAATTTACATTTATCCCATTTCAAAATATTTTTTTAGCTGTAGCTTGTTTCAAGATAAATACCATTCAATAATTTTATTGAAACACTAATGATTTTTATAACATTTTACTATTTACAATGATAGAAAGATTCTTGAACATAATTCATTAATATACGAATATTTTTCTTTTAATTCTTAATATATTTTGGCCATATTTAAGTGGGGTCACTTTGAGTGGGTTATAAACAATAAGCATAAAACTTTTCTTATATACTTATTACACCATATTCCATAAAAAAGCTGCTTCTAAGGGTGTGTTTGGTTGGAGGGGAGGGGAGGGAAAATGAGCCCCTCCCCTCATTTGGTTAAAAATTTTGGAGGGGAGGAGAGCTAAAATGTCCCCTCCCCTCCCCTCCCCCCATTTTGGCTCCCCTCCAAATTGGGGGGTTTTTGGAGGGGAGCCAAAATTTGGACATTATGCTCTTATGGCTTTTTTAATATTCCACTTTACCCATAAAATATATTATTATAATATTTATTTCGAATAAAAAATATATTATCCTAAATAAAAAAAAAAGATATATATACATTATTATAATAAAAAAGATATTATAAAAATATTTAAAATAAAAATATTTAAATAAAAAATTATAATATATAAATTTATATTTTTTTATAAATATATATTATTAAATATATTTTAAAGCTGGAAACAAGATAGCCTAAGAAAATAAAATTCATTTTCTTATAGCATATAAAATTTGTTAATTGATTATTTTAAAATATATATTATATAATGAGAATAAAAAATTACTATGCAATTTTTATACACATATTCATGATAAGACTGAATTTTATTAAATTATATAATTTAAATTAAGATGTAAATTAATTTATATAATATATCAATAAAAAACATAAACTAATATGTAAGGTAAAATGGTAAATTGATTATTATTATCCCTCCCCTCCCTTCCTTGAACCAAATAAGGGATCATTAAATGCCCTCCCCTTCTTTTTAATCAAACCAAAAAAGGGAGGATGAATGAAACTCCCCTCCCTTCCTTTCCCCTCAAACCAAACAGCCCAAGTGAGAATTTCAAACCTATGAATCAAATTCGGTAAAAAAAAAATACAAAATTATTTTTAACGGTGAATTTGCAGGAATTCTTCTTGTCATGCGAAGAATGTTGTCCAAGTTTTAGAAACCAAACTAACAAAAAGAAAGAAGATTTCTTATCCTTCCTTGAAAGAAAATGCAAAAATTATTCAGCAAATACAGCAAATGCGCGTGTCGGAGGAAGAGTTGATATGCGCCCATATATAATTGCGCCTTATTTCGATCGCTCTAGCTGTCTTTCTCTGTTCTGCCATTTTGAGCTGAGCAGCGAACTACCCGAAGTTCAAATTTCTGAAAAGTTTGAATTTTGTGGTTTAGAGTTCTTCTATGGTTATGGTCGACGCTGGATCGACGATCGTCATGGCCACTTCGCCGTTGAAAAAGATCGAACACGCCCACCAGCTGTACCGCGATGGACGGTATGGCGACGCGCTAGGTTTCTACACGGAGGCTATTGGGATGGCTAAGACTAAGGCTCAAAAGATCGCTTTGCATAGCAATAGAGCTGCCTGTTATCTGAAGCTTCACGATTTCAAGAAGGTTCGATTTTTTTTCCCCTTTTATGGATAAATCTACTGATAACGCTGGTGACGTTATTACTCGTTGATGAATGCTTCAAGTCAGGGTGCTAATTTTTTCTGGCTGTATTTTCAATTGAGTTGGATATGTAGATGAAGTTAGAGTTTTTAGATAAATGACGATTAAAATTGAATCGTCTCTATTATATTTCTTTCTAGTTCTGATAATGGCAAGAATGAAAACCATGTTTGGGGAAACATTTTTAGTGCTGTGAAGTTTATTTTCTTTGTCATATTTTTTACTATGTGGAAAATGGGCAGCAACGGGCTTTAGTTTGTACAGCTTGTTCTGATGCTTGAGGGTGAGGATAACTGTTCAATTGGGAGAAAACCATCTTCAAAATTTAGAAAATTATCAGTGGTAGTTTCTGGTTGGATATCTGCTTGCGCTCAGTCTCTTGTATCTTGCCAATCCAGATTCGAGAATAGCTACTCCCCTCCCCCTCTTCCTTGGAAAGCTATAAGGTCCAAGTTTAAGGAGGTATTGAAGCTGCTAGAGGAAGATGGAAAACATAATAGCGCGCACAGAGGAAATCTTATTTGGATTGACCGATAATCATGCTTGTACTTTGTTGAAGGCGTAAAATCAGTATTAAATCCATGTACCAAACAAGGCCTGTAGATACAAATTTCCTCCACAATTGAACTATGAATGAGAAAAGAAATGAATGTATTGGCTTCTTCTCTAGATATCTGTCTAAAGATGTATAATTTGCAACAGATGTTTTCAAAGCCTAGCTGCTTTATTAATGCCAAATCATTAGTCTTATCATTCCTAGAGTTGGATATCAAACTTTAGTTTCCTCGTGTTATAGATATTTTAAAAACATTGGTTTAGAATTAAACTTTGCTATCACTTCCATGTTTGTCACTGTCCTTATTTGTCTAACTGCAAGCTTTTGCTGTATGATCTACACTCTTCTTTTTTCATGGGGTGTAATTAACTGTTGGTGCTGCCATCTCAGGCTGCAGAAGAATGTACCTCAGTGCTTGAGCTAGATCACAAGCACAGTGGAGCTTTGATGCTGCGGGCTCAAACATTAGTCACCCTTAAGGAGTACCATTCAGCACTTTTTGATGTCAATCGACTGTTAGAGTTGGATCCATCCTCAGAGGTGTATCAAAATCTTCAAGCTCGCTTAAGGACGCAATTGGTAGGGCCTTATTTTTCCCTCCACCTTTTTATCATTGCAGTTAAATGCATTGCTCGGTAACTTGCTATTCAAGAGTTTTGACTTTTGACAGCTAAGTTCTGTATTAGTAAACCTGCTATGAATTCCCTATGAAATAAATTATAATCTAGTTTTATTAAAAATTATAGGTCTTGTGAGAACTCAAGCTTGTTTGATTGTTTTACTCCTTTGGATACTTTCGGATTGCACTGAACTTTTAGGTTGATAGGTAACAAAGTTCAAAACACAGCTAACTGTGGAGATTTTCCTATTACCAAGTAAATTTGGCCTGGAATGTAGTTTGTAATTGGAATACTTTCTCAGCTACGAGTAAGAAATTGTTTACTTTTTCTTCTGCTCAAGGAAAGTCACTTGCTCCAATACCAGAGTCAGAAGAGGAGTTTGAAGAACAGGGATATGAAGAAGAGGTGACAGTAAAAGAAAACAATAAATGGGAAAAATCCCAAGAGAATGATGTTGGGAGAGATCATAAAGATGAGCTTGCCAAGGCTACTATTAATACTGAAATAGACGAGAAGTCATCATCTGAACAAGGAATAGACCAAAACTCTGAGCCAAAAACTTCCACACCAGAGACGATTGCCAAAGCACCACAGGAGGAACCAGCGGAGCAACATTCCAAAGCATGGCAATCGATTCCAAAACCGAAAGGGCATTCAACTTTAAACTATGCACGATGGGACAGTGTTGAAGACGATTCTAGTGAAGATGACGACGACGATGATGAAGATGAAGAAGAATCTCAACCCCAGTACCGATTTCGTGTAAGAACCATAGGTGTACGATCGGTAAAGTGAGAATAGCCTAAGACTGTTCCGGTCCAATTGTGTACAGAATGAAGTCTTGTGGACCGAATGGGTTGTTGACGTTGCTCATGGGTTCTGTCATGGAGAACTTTGAATCCTGGGAAGTACTGGCTTTGCATGGTCAGATGAGTTACCTGACTCTGAAATTCTCATACCCTTCATGATCTGATGTGATACAAATTAAGTCAGTTCATATATAGGATCAAGTATAAAGAGTGTTTCAACAGTTGAGACTTGAGACCTATACTGCATGGGCATGGAGGTGATAAATTTTCCTGTTGCTGTGGTTCAACCGTTGTAATTAGTTTTTTTTAAAAAAAAAAAATTTCCTTCAATGTTCTAGTTGTAATCATCGTGGTGTTTCTGGGCTGGAGAGCTATTGATTTTGGTTTGCGAAGGTGGCAGTTGCAAGTTTGTAATAAAATCTCAGAAACTATCGTTGGTAGTTTGTGTGTATTAGCAAATAAATGAGCCATTACCTGATTGCATGCCTGAGAAACTCGAAAGTTGTATATATCAAGGACAGAAAAGACGATCATCGATCAACCAGAGGATTGGAAAATGCGTCAATATTTAAAACAGCAGCTTCGCTGCTTCAGGTTTAAACAAAATAAACTAGTTACGACATAGTTTCATCTAAACTACAGAAAGAGGGTGAAATTTAAAATGAAATTTAAGGTTAATATAATTTTTGTTTTCTCAATTTAATCTTTTTTTTTTGTTCAATATAATCTCTAGTTCTTTAAGTTTTCAAATCATAAGTTTTGGCCTTTCAAGTTTTTTTTATTTAAAATATCGGTTTCTATAATTTAATAAAGACTTGGATTATTTTACTTAAAGGCAACCCTCAAGAGTGATTCTAAGAAGTAATTTTTCGTAAAAAGAGGTAAACTCATCCACATATTTACTTCATAAACCGTAAAAACATTTTTGAAACCATGGTTTGATTTCCATCCAACCACTCTCTTAACTTGAGGATCTAAAACCAAAATAAGAATGAATTTGAGAGACAAAAACTTATATTAATCCTAGATTGTGAACAAAAGATACATGTATTATTGAATTTTTTTCAATGGGACCCTCAATATTTTTTTTTCGATCTTTGATTTATTTATCGCATCTTTTACCTATTCTCTTCATTAATTATGGCATGTTTGGGGAAAAAATTACATGTTTTCCGTATTTATTGTTTTAAATTGATTTTAACTAATTTCTTGATAAACATAAATAAATAAAATTTATCTTATATTTTGAATAAAATAGAGTAATAAAAGAGGGAAAGTAATGAATATAGTGAGAAATGATACATCTAACAACACTACCTCTTTTCAGGAGTGTTTGGCAACCCTCAGAAGTGCTTCTCAGAAGCACTTTTCTGCAAAATAAGGCAAACTCCTCCACATATTTACTTCGTAAACCGTAAAAACATTTCTGAAACTATAGTTTGGTTTCTATCCAAACACCCCCTTCTACAGCATAACCAACTGAAGGAGTGGTTTTACAAAAATACTACCGTTGGATTTTTTTATTTTTTATTTTTTATTTTTCGGGGGCTTTGGGGCATTAGAAAGTGGCCAGCAGCTTGAAATATGTCTTTTTGGCGTCATACGTTACGGATCAGAGAAAAAGGGGTGAAACTCATTAAATTCCCCAAGGAGCGTCCATATACTAAGTAATAATGCAAAAGGAGGGACTTGGATTCTCTCCACTATCTTCCTATCCTCTTCCCCTCTACTACCTTTCTCTTTTCTTCACAACCATTGGATCAAAATTTCAATGGTCCAGATTTAACATCTTATAAAATAATGTTATTAAAAAATAAATAAATAAATTTAAACTGTTAAAATCTGGTCTGAACATTTTATAATTGTAATAAAAAAAATTTAAAAAATATTGCTCTATAATAACAGTTGTAGTTATGAACTGTTCAGATTAGATTTTAACAGTTTAAATTTATTTATCTATTTTTATCATAATATTTATTTTTTATAAAATGTTATAAAATATTAAATCTGGATCATTGGAGTTTTGATCCAATGGTTGTGAAGAGAAAAGGAGGGTGGTGGAGGGGAAGAGGATGGAAAGGGTAGTGGAGAGAATCCAGTTCCCAAAAGGAGAGAGGGAAAAGTATAACAACTAAAAAGAGGATTCTTGCATAAAAAAGAATCATCCTTTGAAAAAAAATAAAAAATCATCTCAGTGCTGTTGACTGTTGAGGAGTGAGAACCACTTAAAACTAGAACTTTCCTTTTTCATGTATAAGCAACTTGAGAATAATACTTTTAAAAGTGTTTGAAAATTAATTTCTCTTGATTATTAACAATAATCACCGTCACTAGCCGTTAGAACTCAGCCGTCCAAGGCCAAGGGCGTAATCGAGGGGGCAATCCTGGAAATTCGTTCCCAATATGACCGTTACGAGATTCGAAAAAAGGGACCGTTTAAAGGAGCCACAGCCCTTGTTCCTTCTACTTCTGTTCTTCTTCGATTCACTAACATACTACTCATTTCCTCTGCGTCTCTCACTTTTCTCTCTGAATGGCTGAATCCGATCCCCAGAGCACAAGATCTTCAATCATGGAATGGAAGCACCTACACCCACTTCACCAAATCGCAGAAACCCCAACGCACAGGCTTCTACTTAAACAATGGCTCAAGGAGGAAGACCTCATCCTCCATCGAATCGCACTCAAAGAGACCCAAATCGACTCTGTTCGCAAAGAAATGACGATGCTCTACATCTTCTTCTTCCTGTTCCACTCCACATCTCTCATGCTCCTCTTCAACACCGCGTCTTCATCCAAACCCCACATGGAAAAGGCCTGTCACAGATCGTGGATCCCATCTGTGTGCTCTCTGTTATTCTCTCTGGGGCTAATCTGGGCGGTGAGGTACAAGAGCGACGTGGAGTCGCACATGGAGAAGCTTCTGGAGAGAGAGAAGGAGGACAGGAGCTTGTTGGGAAAGTGTGTGGAGGAGCTGAAGAAGAAGGGTATGGAGTTTGATTTGCTGAAAGAGGTTGATGCTTTGAGGAGGGCCAAGAGCTTGAGGGTGGAAGCTAAGGAGGTCCGGAAATGGTCTTCCAGGGACTTCGTGTCTCTGTTTTTCTTCACTCTGTCTTGCTTGTGTCTTGTAGTCACAAGAGTTATTTTGTGTAGTTAGTATGCTTTGGTTGATCGATTCATATCTTCTGAAACTTATATGGGCAAGGAAGGTCGGTGCAGAATGTTCTATTCTGCGTTTTTTTTTTTTTTTTTTTTGGGTTGCAATGTGAAAGATAGTAGAAGTGGGACTATGAAATAAATTGGATCTAATATTCAAAGTCCGGTGTATATCATGTTTGTGTTGTTTACTACCTTCTTCCTGTTTGGAAGCTGGATTTGTTTGATTGAGATTTAGATTCGTAGTCCAAAGCAGCAGATCATGTTTCTGGCGAGCGATTTGTACAGAGCTTTTCAAGTAGATCAGATTTGCAGAGCTAATTAATTTCAAACGAAAGTACCATATCTCTGGCATATAAAGAGCCAGACTGATTTGCTGATACGGAGGAATTAAGTTACTTATTCATGACAAATTAATGTTTTCTCTAAGATATCTATATTAATTATTTCAGATTTGCAGAGCTAATTAATTTCAAACGAAAGTACCATATCTCTGGCATATAAAGAGCCAGACTGATTTGCTGATACGGAGGAATTAAGTTACTTATTCATGACAAATTAATGTTTTCTCTAAGATATCTATATTAATTATTTCAAGTAAAATTATTTCTTGGGTTAATACAAATTTTGGTCCCTCAAATTTGGACCCAATTTGGTATTGGTCCCTGAAATTTAAAACGTGTGGTATTGGTCCCTGAAATTATGTCCGTTTCAGACCGTTAGTCCCTGGTATCTTGGCACCGTTAAATTTTGCTGACGTGGCGTTAACACCGTTAACTAATGAGTTGGCATATAGGTGGCATATGACCTGGACGTGGTATTGGTCCCTCAAATTTGAGGCCATTTTGGTATTAGTCCCTGAAATTTAAAATAGATGGTATTGGTCCCTCAAATTATATCTGTTTCTGGCTGTTGGTTCTTGATAGCTTTACGCCGTCAAATTTGTCTGAGTTGGCTCTAACTTTGTTAACCTATAATACGGCATTTGACTTGGCAACTAAAACTTGATGATGTGGCATGAGCAATGAAAGGTTATGGTCGAAGAGAATCTATGTAATCTGGGATTCACTTTTGTCAAAACACAGAGCTTCTGCTCCTATATTAGTGTGGAGGAAATGCAGTGCATTCTCAGCTAAACCTTCTACCTCCTCTGCTACCTTTGGCCAAAAAGGTGACTTAACAGTTCATGAGAAGAAGAAGCCGGCTTCAGATACAAAACCACTCCCATTGAAGCCATCTTCTTCTAGTACAGACGATGATGAATCTCCCAAGAAAAAAGAGAAGCCCATTACTAGAGTAAGACGTTTGAGTAGAAGCAACAAGAACCTCACCGGCAACTCCAACAAAAAGGCAGGCACAACCAGCAAGCCGCCAGAGCCGCTGAGACCAGATAACAGCAAAGCAGAGGGTTCTACAGGAACAGATAAAAAGAGAAGGGCCTAAAGCTATTAGGGACCAAAGGCCAGAAACAGATATAATTTGAGGGACCAATACCATCAGTTTGAAATTTCAGGGACCAACACCAAAATGGTCCCAAATTTGAGGGACCAATATCATGTCCAGGTCATATGCCAACTTATCAGTTTAACGGTGTTAACGCCACGTCAGCAAAATTTAACGGTGCGAAGATGCCAGGGACCAACGGTCTGAAACGGACATAATTTCAGGGACCAATACCACACGTTTTAAATTTCAGGGACCAATACCAAATTGGGCTCAAATTTGAGGGACTAAAATTTGTATTAACCCTTATTTCTTATTGAAAACTTCTTGACATTAAAATAATCATCGAAATTATTTAAGGGTGAAATAGATAAATATTGGAGACAAAATTAGTTGAAATCTAATGTTTATAACTAAATTAAATTTTTAACTAATTCTTATATTAAAAATTAGAGGTGGAATAAGCTCTTATATTAATCATGTGTATTGAAATTGTTTTTCAATGAAAATCCTTAACATGTGAAATAATCATAGGGATTACTTGTGTAAAATAGATAAATGTCATATACAAAATGGGTTAAAATTGTATATTTAGAACCAAATTAAATTATCAATTAATAGGCAATAATAAGCATATTAGAATGTGAATTATGCTTGAGAAAAAAAATGATAAGGCGTATGGCAAGCAAAATTTACATGCCTATCACCGTGTGAATGAATGGACGTTGGTCGGGCAATGAAGTTGGACGAATGAATCATTTCATCAAAGGTGTCGTGGTGTAGTTGGTTATCACGTCAGTCTAACACACTGAAGGTCTCCGGTTCGAGTCCGGGCGACGCCATGTTTTGCCGCTTTTATTTGCTTTTTGATTTTACTTCTTGTTTTCCCGATGCGATCAAAGGAATGATCTGTTGCCCAACATCCACATGAATTCAGATCCTAGGAGCCTCCAATTGCTTGCTTGTACGTGTGTTTTTTTGGTGGGGTGGGGATATTCTGAAGCTCAGTGACAAAGTCCAGAAACATTCGACAAAATTACAAGCTCATTTCTGAGCATACGTGGAGCTGACGATGAAATTAATAATTCTGTTGATGTTCGGAACTGTACTGACGAAAATAATAAAAAGGCCTTCAGACAGGAGCGTCTGCCAATTAAACTAGTTTGTCCAATTCACTGCTTCCAAACTTTTGAGGGCACAATGGAATTAGAAAAATAAAATGTCCTCCATCACTACGTGAAAATAAGACTGACAGGAAGTGCTTTATATTCTTTTCATTTCAGATACATACTTAATATAAATACAAGAAACAGCAGAAAATCCTTGTAAAAAGCCTTAATTCTGCGCGGTTACAAGTAAAGCCCTGCCATGGCCGCTGATCCTGCATCCATTGCGCCGTTGCAAAACCCTACTTGGCTTCCAAGAGCCCCAAAACTAACTTACAGTAAGAAGCCTTATGAAATATGACCAAAAAGAAAAATAAGAGTACTCTCTTGCTTCTTGTTGCTTCAACACTACGAGGAATGATGTTCATGGCTCATGCCGATCCACTAGACCGAGCAGTGGGCGAAATAAAAATTTCAATGTTCTTTGTCTCACACTGGTTCTTAAGAATTTGAATTAGGATGCAGGAATGGCCTGATCGCAGGAATTCCAAACTCAACCCGGGCATGATTAGCACAAAATGACAGATAAGTTTGAGGGCACAATAGTTAAAAAATGTATATCATCTCATATTCTGCTTTCAGACCTTCATCACCCACCAAGACAGTAGAACACAATGAATAGACAGAACTTCACATGTCAATCATCGGCATGATATGCTGGAGACAACAACATAAAATGGACAGACTAATACAAATTTGTTGTCCGCCAAGTGACAGTTATAATATTGTAGATGTTTCATTAATTTGATGAAAATCACTAAAGAGAGACAGTTCGTCTATATAGTTCTTCGTCATCACTCTCTTCTTCCTCATCTGACACTATCTCATTGCCTGGTAGCTCTAACTTCCCACCCATACAAAAAGATGGACCTGTAGTTTCAGTTTCAATGTAATTACCTTGCAATCTCTCTTCAAATCTCTGGTCACTACAATTTAGCATCCAATTTAATGAAAATCTTATCCCCTTGCTTTTCATCTTCTGGTATCTGGGTTTGATCCGGGACTCCAAGCTATATGTAAAGTATTCTGGAAATTCCACAAGCTCCTTTATGGGTCGCCCCATCTCACTCTTGAAGAAGTAAAAACTGTTCTTCATAAGCTCAACTCTTGCTGCTATTAATTGAGGACATCTGATCAACATATTGGCCACATCATGCGATGGTATTGCCCTTGCGAGGAGGAAGTTAACTGGTTTCATTATCACATGTTGATTAAGGCTAACCACCTGAGGCATCTTCTCTATCACTCGTGCAAATCCTTCAGGGTCAATCTTAAGCTTCAAACTGAAGAAGTACTGCTGTGAAGACAATTTGGCCTTGAGAGGCAACCCAAGAATCGATGGATATTGAGCAATAACTAAAGGCAGTGTTTCCTTCCTAATTCCAAAACTAATCAAACAATCCACATTAGGTTTAACAGTCTCCTGAAGATCGTAACCAAGTATATAGGGCCTCTTCTCCAACATTCTAGCTATAATTTTCTTGGGTAGCCCTAACGAGACCAAGTAATCAATCAGAGGTTTAATCACAGTCCCAACTCTCATCCCCAAAAAATAAGGGTACTGTGTCACCATGGGACCGATATCTCTGGGATTGACGCCAATACTAACAAGATAAGCCACTGAAGTACTCATTGTACCCTCAAGTTTGAACCCCAAAAGCTCAGGATACTTTTGCAACACAAATCCAATATCCTGTTTCTCCACATCAAGTCCTCTTAGGAGCTTAATAACCGGAGCTAGCTCAACAATCACACTTGCATGTAAAACTTGTGGGTAGTTTTTTAAGAATTCGCCAAGCTTTGGCCTTGGAATCCCAATTTTTTCTAGGTACCCCAACACAGGTATGATATTCTTTCTCACACTGCATCCAAGCATCAAAGGATACTCGTTAATGTCATCAATTGTTAAACCCAACTTTTGAAGGAACTCTACGCGCTCCCTCATGACCTCAACGGTGGAAGGAAGCTCCAAGTCATGCAATTCATCTGGAATGATTCCTAAACCCTTTAGATAATCAAATATGATTACCCTCGAAACAAGCTTCTCTTTCCGTCCCTGAATCACACCCCAGGTAACAGATGGCATCTCATACTCGGGAAATTTGGAGGCCTGCGTTGAATACGGTGCATAGTATAGCAAAACCCTAAAAGGGTTCAGGGTTTTAAGGAAAGCAGAAGAAGGGTGCGTAGGATATTGCTTTGACTGAGGAATCAAACCGAATTCATGAGAAATTAATTGGGAAAGTTTAGAGCTTGAAAACAAATTGATGATCTTTTTTCTTCTGAGCATCGACATCGTGCATCAGAAGGATATTGGAACCGTGGATAAGTTTGATATATGCAAACAATGAATACAAGAACTGCAAATGCGCAGGCTAGCAACCAAGAAGCTCTACCTGACATACAATATGAAGAGATGCCGTATTGCAGCGCAGAGAACACTAGGAAACACGGGATTCGGCATATCAGCGGCAGGAAGGAGGAAGATGAGGGTGCTCACGGATTGCGCACCGAGAACAGCACTATGGAAATGAAAAATGATGGGCCTTTAGGGTGAGTCCTGTAAATTTGTAATGGGTTAAAGATTTTCTGACCCAGACAAGAAGTATGGGGTTTTAGTTTATTGTTTTTTGGTGAAGGGTTTTAGTTTTAGATTGTAGACCTGAAAGGCTGTCGCTGAACAAAAGGCTTTTTTTTTTTTTTGAGACGGGGAAAAAATGTTTCTCACATTCAAGGTGCTTTAAATAAGACTGCCTCTAATAAAAAAATATTTATACTAGCAAAAAAAATTTATTTTTATTGAAAAAATTTATACAAAAAAATTTAGGTGAATTAGGTCTCGAGAACTCATCAGGATTAGAGTATGCCTCCAGGATTATAGAACGCTTACGGAGGTACTTACAAATCGCTCATTAAAGATGCCCTTACATCAGTGGTATTATTTTAGTTTAAATCCCTCAAGTTTTAAGCTATATGTTTTGGTCCCTCAAGCTTCTTTTCATTTAAAACATTATTCTTTATAATTCAATAAAAACTTGAATTATTTTGTCTATTAAGAGACCAAAACCTATAGTTTGAAATATAATGGATTAAAATCAAAATGTGAGTAAACTTGATGGATCAAAATTTACATTAACTCAATTTTTTTTAATATAAATACTAACCCAATTTTTAATAATGTTATGAATGGCTAAATAAACTTGGGACCCTGGCCCAAAAAACACTTGAGGCCAATAATTTTGAGCTAATCCAACTCCTTATGTCTAAAGGAATGAGTCCAATACATTTAATCACATTCATGCTATTGTACAGACAAAATGAATTGAAAATATCAGGGGTTAGAAGGGAGTAAAGGAAGAATCAAAATGCCTTGTTGCTATTGTACAGACAAAGTGAATTGAAAATATCAGGCGTTAGGAGGGAGTGAAGGACGAATCAAAATGCCCTGTTGCTATTGTACGGACAAAATGAATTGAAATTTGAAAATATCAGGGGTTAGGAGGGAGTGAAGGAAGAATCAAAATGCCTTGTTAAAAGAGACAGTGATTACTTAAGCAATAAATAAAACAAGGGAATATATAATATATACACACATATACATAAAAGCGAAGGCAGTTCATTAATGGCGAAGAAGTGATGGTTCACGTTCATGTCAGACAGAGACTCAGAAAACAGAGACCCGTCTTGAATTGCCTCTCGTGAACTTTCTCCTTCTTCATTGCCCATCGCCAACTTACACTCATCACTTTTCACTACTCTTTATGACTTCCTAATCATGCTTCCTGCTCTTCATTTCATTTTCGTGATTCTCTTCCCCAAGTTTTAAACACCAAATTGAATGCTCTTTTGTGTAAAGTTTGATGCAAAATCGATATAGAAATGGCAACAAGTACCTGCGAACATTCTTATATCAATGCTTGCAATAATCATATGATGAAGAGAAACAGAGAGAGATACTGCAAACCCATTTGGTTCATAATGAATCAATAAGATGGATAGGGCAAGATGTTCAAAAATATGTAAAAGCATTGGACACAGAGATAATGACAAAACATCATTGACTTCATAAATCATAATTATCATATAAATTGAATATTTTGATTCTTATCATTATGTCAATGGTCATTATGTTTGACAAGAATGCAATCTTCTTGACAGTAAAGTCCAAGAGTCATGTTTTGCAGTCTGATTTCTGCTTAATTTCTATTGGAATTTGTCAAGGCAAGATGGTAAATAGGCTAATAATTCTTTACCAAGACATGCTTTCAAGGAAGTATCTTGTTGAAGCATCAAAACCATGATTATATGGCTTTGATTTTAATTGACAAATCCATGCTCAATACAAGGAAAAAGGTTGTAATTATTAGTCAAACAAACCTCTTTTTATTTATTTATCTCATTCTAAGTATCATATTTTAATTTGACTAACGCTTGTTGAGTACATCTAAAGTAGGATGCTGATGACACCAAGTCACCAATATAAATAAATTGAGGCAGTAAAAGATGAGAAAATTTCTAACCATGATTTCTGATTCTATATTCAATAAGTAGTATGTTTTGTGTAAAGAAAATAACACACAGATGGATGGATGCTATCTATAGTGAGTCTCACCCCACATCATATACTAGTCTCTCTTTACAAAGCATCGTACTTGTCAAATAGAGAATTCTCAGCTTGTTGGTCTACATTGAAAATAAAAAAGTAATGAACGGCACAATTGGATGTGTTCATTATAAAGTTTAATTAGTTTATATAACAAGATTTGAGCCTATGCATTTTTATTCAAGCTATGTTTGCAGATTCACTGGAATGATTTCCCCCTGACTTCTGAGATTGCATTTCATTAAATGCTCTGTGTGTGTGTGTGGGTGTGATTCAAACTTACTCTTTCACCAGAATGATGAGACCGTCCCAGTGAGACAGCCAACTCCCCAATCAGTTTGGCCCAAAACCCTGTCTTATATATCAGTACTACATGTATCAAATAAAAGCTAGAGGTTTCATCCACATTCAAAATTCATCAATGCCCTTTCCTTCATTTATAGTTTCAGATAATAAGTGTAGTTCATTTTTGGGTAACTCGCCAAAACTTGTGAAACTTTGAAAACCCCCCAAAAAACAAAAACAGCAGCAGAAACAACAACTGTGGATCATGTGAAACGCATCAGATGTACCTCACTCCACATTTAAGACTCATCTTATATATGATCCTTAAACTCAGCTACAACTACTTCCATCTTCATATATCTCCTTCTTGTTCACTAGCTTGCTTCGCATCCTCATTTATTCTTTGATGAAAACTGATCTGCGAATTGCTTGAGTTTACTCTGCAACTATGAACTCTTTCTCTCTTCCAATCCACAAGTCTTTCCTCCTCATGATGTTTTTCATGCTTCTCTCTATTGCTTGGAGTCTTAGGGTGATTCCTAGTCAAGGTAATTAATTGTCTCGTTGTCCAGTCTTATTGTTTCTTAAAATCATCAGTGTTAGTTCGTGAATATTTATGTAAGCTTTGTTCTTTCATCTACAAGATAAGGTGATCAACTTGCAAGGACAGAAACCCGCAAGTGCAGATAACAAGGTTTGTTTGTTTCCAACAGTTTCATGGTTTTGCTTCATGAACTCATTTAGCTGCTACACAAACAACTAAAATACTGATATATATATATATATATATATATATATATCAGGTTAAGAATGAATGATGAAGTGGATGGTTGTGATTTGCAGGAAGAAGGTGGGGAGAAAGAGTTGGGAATGGAGCTTTACCAGACAGGATCAAGCTTGCCAGATTGTTCCCATGCATGTGGGCCATGCTTTCCTTGTAAGAGGGTGATGGTGAGTTTCAAGTGCTCCATGGCAGAGTCTTGCCCTATAGTTTACAGGTGTGTCTGTAAAGGCAAATACTACCATGTACCCTCCAATTGATCTTCTCAACTATGATTTTTTCCCCCTTAGTTTAGGATTATAATATTGATGTGACTCTTAGGATGTCAGCTTTTTGGTACCATGATGATTTCTGTTTATGAAGTAGAAGAAGAAGAGTGACTAGTTAGGACTATATCTTTGATAGAGTGGGATTTTCCCCCTTTCCTACTATAACTGGATTTTGACAGTCCCATTTTGGACTATGAATGTGTGCATTGTTAGTAGATAACAACAGTGGCACATGCTTTTGCATTTTGGTCTATGCCACAGCTGCTGTTGTAAACCAAAAACATAAACATTAATGTAAAGTAAGAGTCACTGTGAAATCCCAAGGGGGAACAAAAAAAGATAAACACCAAAAAGTTCTACAACAAATGAGTAGTATGCAATGACATGTTCTGATCTCCTCACTTGGTATTCAGATTCTTTGTAATCATATTTCTTTTTGAGACATCACAATGATTTTCTCTTAATTTAATTTAATGACATTAATAAGAAGCAGCAGGGGTGGATTTGTCACTTTAGGGAGCAATTTGAATTGCTTCTTGGGTATAACGGGCAGCAAGAAAAGAATAATTAAAGGGCTCCAAACTCAACAAACATAATTTATTAATTAATTAATTTGATGGAGATAACATCAGGACAACCACAGCATACGGGCCTGATTGTACAAGGACGGCCCAACTGAAGCAAATAATGAGGCATTGGCCCACTCTCTCAGTGCTGCCCATTATATAATCCAATTTTTTAACCGTTCTTAGGTTTTTAAACAAAAGAACCTGAATCCCAACCATATTTTAGAATTTGGCCAAAAAATATGTTTTAGAAGTAATTAATAAAAGTGAGAAAGGGTAGGTGGTCGGGGGGAACAGTTGGGAGGAATTCCAAGTCAGAAAGAACGGAAGGTGAATCAGAGAGAGATAGATGAAGGCTCATAAAGCGGTTGGATGGGGCTCCCCACTTAGTACCCTCCGTACCGGATTACGCCATTATGTCCCCTGTGGGACCCACAAACACTCCACTTGAAACTTGAAGCGACAAAGAGTTTAAACTTTTTTAATTAATTTTATTTACTCCCTTTTACCTCTTATATATATTTATTAAAAGGTTTTATGTCAATTTCTCATGTTATTTCAAAAATTGAATTCATTAAAATTTTTCTTATCCTCATTTTCGTTTCTTTCCAACCAAGCAGAGAATAAAAAATTAACAGAAATTAAATATCAAATAAAGGGAAAATGACTAAAAACACCACTTGAATTTTAAAATTAATACAACGGGAATAATGCTGGTTTTAAGTATATATCTACATATATGTATCAAAGGCCAAAAAAAAAAAAAGACATGGAGCTTTATTGCCAACCACCCCCGGAGGGGGGGGGGAGGCAAGAAAGGGTGAATTAATTTTGTGCGAGTGACAGGCAGTGGGTAATTAAAAATCCTTACAGGACTTGTGGAAGATTCTACTTTGCTTGGAGAATCCAGCTTTGCTAATTTATTCCCATGAACGTGCATGAAGTTGCCTCCCCATTCTTCCTAGTTAACTAAGCAGCCCTAACCTTTCACTTATTCCACCTCTCTCAATCAACTATCATACTCAAAGCACAATTCCAATTTTTTAAAAAAAAAAAAACTAAAAGTGCTTGAAGTGATAAGGAGGATTGAACTCGTGACACGGCAAGTATTCATATCACTAGATTATAAAACTATTAAATATTTAAACTGATTTTTTAAAAAAATTTGGTGGGCTAAAATATTTATCATTTTTTTTGCTAAAACATATATATCCTCTTATTGGAGGTAATCCTATTCGAAGCACTATCAGACACTGAATGTGAATACCTTTTCTAATAAAGATTCAAATCTTGATTCGCTATGCTGCGAGGGATTAGTTTTTTTTACTATACCTAATCCCATTGGCCAATATTTATCCAGTATGAGCAGGGAAAAGTGATTTGTTGCTTGAGGTCAAAAAAAAAAGGCGGTGTCGTGTGGTGGGCCTTTGAGGGGAAAGTGGAGGAATACTCAAAGCACAATTCCTTTTTTATTTTTTTTGAAAAAAATTAAAGTACCAAACACTAACAATTTGAAGTTATAAGAAAGATTGAACGCAGGAAGTATTCATATCACTAGATTGAAAAGCTATTAAATATTTAAAACGATTTTTTTTTAAATTTTGGTGGGTTAAAATATTCATGGAGTTTGAGTAGGAAAAAAGTGATTTTGTTGCTTTGAGGTTAAAAAAAAGGCGATGTTGTGGGGTGGGCCTTTTGAGAGGAAAGTGGAGGAATAGTGACTAGATAAGAGTGTTTGGGTTGAATTCAAATTGCACAAAAAGTAGGATCATGGGCCGGCCACGTGGAGCCCGGTGGAAAGTGGTTCCTTTACATCAGGCCAGCTTGCTTTTTGCGTCGACATTGACCAAAGATATATAATAAAGCAACCAATACTGGCCTCATAAGTCATAACAGAACATGTTAAAATAACAATTTGAGGACGAAACTTGAAAATGTTTTAATTTGGCGTTGAAAATGGAAAAAACATGGCGGATCATGTATGGAAGGCGGCTGAAGTAAATCCACATAGATAACTACGTACTCCTCCGGTGTCCTAATTATAAGACCCAATTAACTTATTTGAGGAGATTAAGGAAGTAAGTTAAGTTGGTTATTTATAATAAATAAGTGTTGTTATTCCTAAAATATCCTTGCTAATTAAGTATATGGCTAAAACTATCATTATTAGAAGGATTATCTTGGAAAAAAATATATAAATATAAGAGAAAAAATGGATTGGGTCTTATAATTAGGACCAAATAAAAAATCAAAATGGGTCTTATAATAAGGACAAGAGGAGTACAATACTAAATATGAAGAAGATAGGAACGAGTTTGCTTTTTGTAAGTAAGGCCGCGCCTTTTTTTTTGTCTTTAAATGTTTTTTTTTCACTTATCAATTTAATTTAATTCATAAATTTGATTTAGATTCAAAATAATTTAAAGCTGGGTGTGTTTATTTTAAATTTCTGGTCACACGCCATGAAACCCGCGACTCCACCAGTCCCCGATCACTTCCAATCATTACACTACACTCTGACATGTGCATTAAATGCCCCCACCTCTGTTCCAGTTCTTATTTCTTCATTCATAACTATAAACGAAATCATATTTACATTTAAAAAAAAACAACTTATATGTATAATTAAATATAGAGTTTCACATTATCAAGCAACTAGTATTGAGTTTAATTATTAAAAAAACTGATCGAATCGAGATTTGAATTTCTATTCACATAAATATTATATTTACCGAATTTAAAATTGAGTGAAAATATGGGTATATACCCGTTATGATCCTCAATACACAAAACTAATTTAGGTGTTGAATTTGATCATGAGAACAAGACTTTAATATATTTTATCTCATGTTTATAATTTAATTTTTTTCCTAAGCTAATTTACTTTAAATATGGGAAGAGACGGAGGAGGAAAGGAATGATTGAAGCGGGAGACGGTGACCCGCGGTGCCGCGTATAAAGCGACGCGTCCTCAATCCTACCGGATGCCAAGTCATCTGTCAGAACACCAGCTCACTCCTCCACCCGACTTCTCTTTTTAATTTCTTTCTTCCTTTCTCTTCATATTATTTTTTAAAAAAAAAATTGTATATATATTATTTTACAGCAAATTATAATTATTTATATTATAATATTCTGAGTCCTGCAAACAGAAATAATGGAAGTTGTACAGTTGTATCTTCATCTCTTGACGGTTGTCTGCTTCTAACTATATAATTAAAGTATTCCTTTTCGTTGTTCCGTCACACCGTCTCAATTTATCTTATTTACAATGTTAAATCTGCAGTAAGATTCTGATTTCAAAATAAATTTTCTATACTAAAATATTATTCAATTTTTAGAGGGTACTATTATGTATATCATGCGCGAAAATTAGTCTGATTTGTTTAATTAATGTGAGTCGCAATAACATCGATTAAGTTTTGCAGGGGAAAAAATCGATTTAAAAAAAAAAAAAGGAAAAAGAAGAAATCAAGGAAACTGTAAAAGGTCAAAAGTGAAAAAGCAGATTCCGTTCCCATCTCTGGCGGTAAAATTTGTTTGGCGCCATTTGACTAATTATAAACTCATTTGTATGAGTTGAGATAAATTTTTTTATATATTTATATTCCACTTGTTCGATTCTTAATATAAACTTAATTATTAAATTGATTTTGATTCTAAATATAAGATTTATTTTTATATTATCATTTTTTTCTTAAATTATCCTTATGAATACTCCCTCAATATAATCAAACAGAAGATAGAGAGAAAATATTAAGAAGGATGATTATGGTGTTTTAGAAAAAAATATGTCATATTTCTTATAATTAACTAACTTACTAACTTTTTAATTTAATCAAATCAGTTAAATAAATCTTATATTAAGAATCGGAAGAGTATTTTGTAAATTATAATTAAAAAGGTGTTTATAATTTTTTTTGAATGAGAAAAAAATTATCTCATGAGATATAAATTAGTTTTTTTTTTTCAAACTCTTCCCAACCTAGCTCTGAAACAATCGGCTCACCTTTATTTTTGCCAAATGATTGTTTATAAATAATAATCCCGCGACTGAAATTACACACGCATTGAAATACTAAAATTTCAAATTATATATAAAAATTGACACTAAAAAAGAAGGGAAAAAATGACGAGGGAATGTAACGTTATGTGGTCAGGAAAAGTTACCAGGTTAGTGACTGGCTTTAACGGATGAACTGAGTGGATGGGATCAGCTTGGGTCCGATGTCGGGTTGTGTCATGGCTATCACGCTCTTAGTGTTATTTAACCGATATACCCGAGTGAAACCACCCATTTTGATACTCCTTTCCATTTTAAATTTAAACACTATATATGCAACTAATTTATAAAAATTAGTTATTTATAGAAAATGTAAATACTTTTTTAAATTGTAAGTTAGTTTTCTAAAATACTCTTTTTTTATTCATTTGTATTGAAAATAATCTAAAATTGATGGAAACCTTCCTTTAATATGAGCAGATTATAAAGATAATTTGTGGGGAAAATCAAGTGAATTATTGGTCTTCAACCCTTCCTGTTCAATTTCCTATAACTAAAACTAATGAAGCATCCATTGATATAAGAAATGAAAAGAGAATCCGTACACAATAAAAAAAAAAGGTTTTTTTTTTTTGAACCGTTCTCTTTGAATCTGTTTGTTGGTAACACGTCACTGAGCGGCTCATAATAAAACCAGATTTAATCCTAAAAAAATTTGATTTAGAAATAGCACCAAATATTCACTTCTCACCTAAACCACTAATCCCCCCAAACCATACCTATATCAAAGGGAAAAAAATAAAGCAAAAAAAAAAATCACACTCACACAAAGAACCCAATATATTTAAATAAGAAAAACACCAGATTTAGTTGGCCAAGGAAAAAAAAAATCAGATTTATAAATATCAAATTAAATAACCATCTTTAACCTTTATTATTTTTCTCTCTCCGTTTGTACCTGCCAAGTACGATTACCTGTACCTCCACCCCCAACTTCTATCATCATCACCTTTCCATTGTCTACGCAACTGAATTTACCCTTTTACCCTTCTTTTTCTGTATATATTTTTCTTCTCCTTCCCTACTCCCCTAACTCAATCACACACAGTCTCTTCTCTATCTTCACAGCTTTCTCTCTCCACCGCTGAAAAAAGTAACGATGAAGCATTTGATTCGCAGGCTTGCTCGAGTCGCCGACTCATCTCAGTATACACTCCTCAGATCCGATTCGCAGAGCCGTCGTTCTCGCCGAGTGCTCACCGCGGCAGGGAGGAGCCGGCGGAATCGCTCGAGGACGGCGGCTGCGGCGTTGGAAGGGCACGTGCCGATCTACGTAGGCGACGAGATGAGGAGATTCGAGGTGAACGCGGAGCTGCTGAACCACCCGATCTTCGTTAAGCTTCTGAACAAATCAGCTCAGGAGTACGGGTACGAGCAGAAAGGCGTGCTCCGAATCCCCTGCCATGTCTTCGTCTTCGAACGTGTCCTCGAAGCTCTTCGTCTGGGACTCGACGACGCGCGTGACATCCACGATCTGCTTTCTTCCTCGTCTGAAGAGTTTTGCTAGGAACGGATGAAGAAGGAAAAGTAAGTTGCAGAAAATTAGGAGGGTGATGAAGTGAATACAGTATGTTAGTGGGATCTTTTTTTCCCTGTAAATATACTTTACAATCTTGAAAGAGGCACAGAAAAAATTTAGGTGTTTGTTAAGTTTCCGTTTTTCTTCTTGTTGCTCAGTGTAAATGCGAAGATATAATCACTTCGCTACTGGAAAAGCAACTAAGAAATGAGAGTCTCTTGTCTGCTTTTTCCATCCATCCTCGTTCTCCATTTTGCTTCTGGGAATTTTTACCTTCTCGGGAAACAAACGGAAAAGTGAACCTGAAAATTAATGCCCTGTACGGAGCACCAAGCTGCGCCTCATGCATCAGTTCAGTTTCATTCGATCGAGCTTGCCGTTTCCAACGGAAGACAGTTCTGATGATCCACTAATTTCTTTTTCTAAAGAATAAAAAAACAATCGGTCGTGGTACGGTTGCCGGCGGGAAAATTTGCGAAAGAGTGAAAATTAAAAACATTCATAGGTTGAATTGGGAAAAATTAAGAAATTAATATTATTAGTCTTTATAATTTGATCAAATTTTGAGTTTTGATATCAAATAATTGGTTTTTAATTCTTACAATTTTATAAGAATTTGGTCTAAATTTAAAAATAAAAATCGGGATCAAAATTTTCTAAAAGTAGAGGAATTATTTGTTAAACTGAGATCCAAAAATTATAAAACTCTAAGGATTGCAATCAAAATTTAGTTGAACTATAAGTACTAATAATGATATTAATTTTATTAAAATTAAAGTTCATGAGTATTTCTCATTTTGTATGGATATTATAATTCACGGGGGGAAATTGCAAGAAGTGGGAGGAGGAAAGGAAAGAAACATGGAACAAAACGTAAATGCTTGTGGGTTGAGCAGATATATTAGATAAATAGTAATGATTAAGCCGAATAGCCAATGACGTTGGCAGGTCAGCAATGTAATTTCCGTGATCTGAGGATGCCAGCGTCATTTCGTCTTTCGGGAGGAGGACTGTTTCGTCATTCCAGAGACATATTTATTTTTTATTTTTTTTGGGAGATGGTAACGTAACATAGACATGGCATTGGCTAAAATAAAATTTAAAGAGAGAGAGAGAGAGGAGAGAATGTGACGTAAGCAACTGGTCCCTTCAGAGCCCTTAGACTGGGACCGGGAACATTATTGAAAGATGCTGTAATAAGGGTCTAAGGCCCTAAACAAGCTGCCTTTTATACCAATGAAAGTGCTTTGAACATAATCTCTCCCATATTGCATTATTCTTACGCTACTAATTTTATATTATATTTATATCAGAACACGACATATATATTATTTAATTATATAACTAGACATTACATTATGCACGTGAATAGTTTGATTAATAAATCTTATTGCCAATTCGCCGTTCCATCGACCTATGTGATATATTAGTTTCAGTTTTAGTTATAAGACCTTATTTGTAATCTATAAAAGAAGTCTTATAATTAAGATCGGAACAGTATATTTTGTTATTAAATACCTTACACCGGCCCGCAAACACACAAACTTGACTTCATTTGTAGAGATATTATATATTTTGTTTGTTTTGAATGGGAAAATTTTATATACATTTGTCATTTTTTTGAACATTTCAGAAATAAACAACTAATAGATGTAACTAATTTGTTGTTGTGTTAAAAATACTTGAATGCTTCTGTTAGAGAAGCAAAAACATGTTGGATTATGTCATCGCTCATTGCGTTTCATTGGTAAAAACTTGTGATGTAATCTCTAATAAAAATAAGAGGCAGTGCCTGCATAAATGCATTTTTTCAATAAGAAAAAGTTAGTGAAAAGACCATGTTTAAAAAATTTATTGGCCGCAAGAACTTAGATTCGAGCATCAATATTTTTTGCGAGTGTAAAATCCTTTAAAGTAGCTGTACTTTCTTTCAATAATTGAAAAATTTTACGTGAGAAACCAAACATATGTTTAAACTCTCGTTAAAGTTTTAATTGATGTTTGAGTGTTTTAGTTGCAGTCCAATTGGAATGTTGTAAACAGCCAACAAATAGAAGAATAATCACCAATTTTGTCAATGATTTTCATTAATCACTCGCGATAATTATTTTATCTATTCAACAAAACTGTTATTAATTATTAGCATATTGTTGTTAGTCTATCTCGTTTTCATTTTCATAAATTGCGGCCATATTTGGGAGCTTCCATTAAAATTTGTTTAAGCCGTACGTGATTTCAAAGAATCGTGCACCTAAACGTGTTTTGTTTTTTTTTTTAAATTGTGAGCATCATATAATATAAGAAGCTAAAGAGCAGGCGAGTGATAGATAGAGATGGCTAAATTTATTGAAAAACCTACCCAGAGGAATCCAATAATGTCTTAAGCTTGGCTTTATATGGACAAAGGAAGAGGTGGTCACATCGGCCACCTAATTTGCAATTAATAAGGAGGATGAATTCTTTGAACAAATAATGGAAGGCAGCTACTTATATGTATTTTGAAAAATTAGGTTAAGTGTAGGTGTGAATCTCTCAAATGGTAACTACCAAAATTGTAATAATATACCATTATTATATGTATTTTGCTTCACGGAAGGGGAACCATATTGCAACAATATTATTAATGCCTTCCAAGAATGTTTTCTTATTTTAAGATCAAAATCTATCAGAGCATGCCCCCATCCTTGTTTGTATATTAATATTGATCAGCATGCCTCTTGTTGCTTCTTAATTTCTTGTTAATTTGACAATTTTTTTACTTATTTACTAAACTTCTTGGTTTCAATTTGATCGTTCTCTTATATTTCTTTGGACTTTAATTAATTGCTCTCGTAAATTAATAATACTTGAGTTTAGTTTTATTTTGTATATCATCACCCAATTTACTTCAATTTTGTTTGTATATTATTACTCGAGTTTATTTCAATAAGCTTGTCTTGAGTTTAGTTTATCTGCTTTTGATGAGTACGTAGTCTAATTAATGTTTTATTCTCTATTGTTTCGGATGAGAATATAACTGGTATAAGGATATATATAATGTACCCATCAAAGATGTATTACGTATATAATTAGACACTTTTAGTGGAAGTGTTTAATAAGCTTTTATAATAAAGACAAAGATGAGGAGTGAGCGTATTAAATTAGTGGTTCATTAATTCCAATTAAATATGATTAAGAAAAAGTAATTATATTAAGGAAGAAGGCTTGAATTGGTGTTGCCTGGCATGTTACATCCATAATCAGTGCTGCAGGTAGAATCATTAATTATAATTTACGAAGTAATTAATGTGAGCAACCTATATATCTCATCAGCATCATCACCTCCCAAATTATAATGGATTTTACTATTCTGGTCAAATGTTTTGGTGTGAGTCTTCATTTCCATATATCCAATTTTTATGACATATATTCAAAGGGTTTGGTGCGTCTCGACGAGAGACTACGAACAATGTGAAATTTTTTTTCTTTTCTGGATTTAATTTAGGGTATACGTCATGTGGTTAGGTTTCCGCAGACGAGAAGTACTGATAGGGATATATGAATGTACATGACAAATTCATAGAATATAGCGTACTGTTTTGTAATTTTGTTCACTTATCATACATAAGGTCAATTTTTGCTGCCAAACTTAATATTTGAATATTTGGCAAAAAATCATTTTTGTTTTTTCTAACTTTATAAAAAATTTTAGTTTGGTCTCTTAATTTTATAAAATTACTTCCTCCGATTCTATATGTAAGTTACGATTTTTGTGATAGAATTGGTTTTTTTTTATGAGTTATAATTTGTATATGTCTAAAAATTTAATTCACCTTTTCCCCATTATTGTAAGTTTTTTTTTTTACCAGCACCCATTATTGTAAGTTTATAAACATCAACCACTTATAATAATCATAAATTATCTTAACATTATGATTATTATTAGGATCAAAATATTATATGTTACTGAGATCCGCAACATATCATCAATATACTACATGGGAATGCATTAATGATGACTTGTTCTAGGGGAAGGCAAACATACAGTACTTAATTATAGGAACAACAAACTTGTGTGTTGGAATCACATCTGGACCTTCAAACTGACTTCTCTATTGGCAAAAAGAGCTTTTTTGATTTGGGATGTGTTTGGAATCACATTTTTGCAATCTGACTTTTATGACTGAAACGGTATACAATAAGCTCAAAGAAGCTACTTTTATCTAATCTGATTTCTGTAAAAGTCAGATTGAAAAAAAAGTTACTTCTCCACCGCTAATCCAAACACACCCTAAGGGCTTATTTGAGGTGGCTTTTGGGAGAAAGAAATGGTCCAAAAGGAAAGAAGATGAGCGAAAATTTGAAAAA